AACTTTCAATATACATCCGCAATCTTGTTTTCTTTTTCGTTTTTTTTTTGTTTTTTTTTTTGAATGGTCGACATAATTTTGTTCATGATTCATATTTTTAGCTAAAGAAACGGCTACATATTGAAAGTTAAAGGATATATTAAGAACAGCTACTTCGTTGTATCTGTTTGCATTGACTTAAATACTACAGAGAAAAGAGACGCACAAGGAAGCACGACGCATTGTGACACAAGACACACATGTACATTCGGTGTGAGTGAACGTGTTAAGGAGGAAGTTAAGATTTTCTTCTTTGCTTCCACCACAATTTGCCATTCGATCGTTAGATGCCAACTTATGTTAAAGCCTTTGGCTAAAAGCCATTCATAAAAGAACTTTTATTAAAAATTGTTGGGCAATGTTGAAGAAGCATTTCAGTCGCAAAGGAAATGCGCCCTTGCGTGATTTATGAAGTCTGTCTTAGATACTAGACATTTCTTTAAGACTTGGGAGCAGTCAACTATTAAATGGCAGTATATCAACGTTATTTTTGATAGGTCGACAACTTTTCACTCAACACAAACAAAAACTTATTTTATATTATTACCAATCGGCAGAATGTTTTAGTGAGTTGTTGCAAAAGTCTCTGGCACGTTTCTGACAAAATATTTGTATCCGTATGTATTGTTATTATGTGAAGACAGCACTGTTCCTGGTACTTTGAAACGTTTTCGCTGTAAAACGTTTCTTCCAAAATTCCTTGGCCAAAATATAATATTGGAAGAAGTACACACACATACACACACATACACACACACACATATATATATATATATATATATATATATATATATATATATATATAGTGCTGTAATAATTTTGCCTTTGTGTATTTTTTATTTATTTTAAAAGACAAAAGAGACATTTCTTCCAAAAAGATTGCTTTCAGCCATGAAACGGACTGTCGCCATACTGTGTTAACATCAGTGCCCACACTCTATCCCTAATGTTGAGCAATTTACCCGTAAATATAGCATACATTAAAACTATATTTTACCATTACACACACACACACACACACACATATATATATATATATATATATATATATATATATGAAAATATATAGAAAATAGGAAGGAACTGGTTAGGTGAATAGTCCAAAGTTCCTTAGTATTTTTGTTATTATTTTTAAAAAATAGTGCTCGATACAAAAGTAGAGCATAAATATAATTATTTATTTAAAAATATGATTCCAAATCGCTACATAAGAGGTCTCATGTTTCAAAACAAGAGCCGAAAACTTCAATATAATCCTTTAAATTAAACTGAGTTGAAATTAAAAAGGGCTCCGTTCCATCTTCAAGCGAAATTTTTGTTGGAATAACGTATATCTGAAATTTACTTGTTTTAAAAATTGAAATCAAAATCACCATGGTAACAGCTAGGGCGAATTGTCTAAAATGGGTAGGCGAGTGTAGGGTGTTAATGATGAGTAGCGGTATAGAGATACTTTCAAGGTGTCAAGTCGGGGGAAGGTGAGGGTGTCAAAAATGAAACGAAGATGTATTAAGCTTTCGTCAAGTTGGCTTGTCTATGGAGATTTATTTATTTTATTTTATTTTATTTTATTATGAAAGGGAATTGTGCATATACAAAGAAAAACTTTCGTAACGTTTGTTTTTTGACGACTTCATAAAGGGTTATCTTTTATGTAAGGTATTTAAACTACTAATTTGGGCTATGGGTTATGAAGGGTGTTATGTTGTATGCAAGTTTGTAGTTAAAAATTTCTACTATGAATCTGATGATTGGGTTATTTGTTAAACAAGTTATATAAATTTTTTTATTTCAAACCAAAATCTGATGATGCCTACAAAAACCGTTATCTCGTGTCTATTATTTAATAGATTATTATTATTTAGAAGTTTAATAATGTGCAATTTTTCATGGAGGCACAAAGGGCATGGGTCATCCCAAGCTTTACATATTCTAGCCTTGTCAATAATTTTCCATTTAACTTTTGGTGTCTTATTTGTTTCCTTCAAGTGCCAAAAATATTTTGATAGTGAAGTCTGGTTTCTTTTGTTTATATCATTAAAGGAGCACTTATGCTGCCTCCATCTATCTTTAAAATTGTTCTTCGTGGACCCAATGTATATCATATTAGTGCTAGGGCTCTCTGTGGATGAAATAGTGCATTGGTATACCACAGAATTAATACAACATTTATTTTCTAATGGGCAGTCTTCTGGGTTTCTACAGTTACATAATTTTTCCCTATTATCATCTGATTTAAGTGAAGAGTTTTTATTAATACTGTTTTGGCATGGGGGTTTGTTCAGGATCTTATTATTGTGTTTTTTTTATTATGCGTTCAAGATTATCAGAGCAGCTGTAGCTCAATTTTAGGGTGTTCTTATTGAATATATTACTAAGCTTACTATTGGTGGGGAAGTGTTTATTAATTAGAGCTAAGAATTTATGTCCTAGTTTAATACTAACCCTTTGGTTGAACGGAGGGGTGTACCATATGATATTTCTTTTCCTGTTTTTTTTTCCCCATGTCCAGTGCAATTTTCTCTGTAGTTAATGTTAGCATTTTTATAACCACTATTTTTTAGGGCAGTGTTATAGAAGCTATTATGTTTTTGGAATATTTCCCTGTTTGCGGAGTTAAGGCTAATTCTATTTTCTATTGATGAGGGTATATGTTTAATTATTGATGGAGGATGGTTTGACTTCGGGTGTATGTATAAAGGGTTAGCATTTGGTTTTCTATAAGGTTGGTATGTATTGTCTGGTAAGTCTAGAGTTACGTCGAGGAAGTTAACCCTTTTCAAATTAGAAGATCTGAATAGCTATTATAACATGATTTCGTTGTCAAGCTTTTAAATCTTCCCATACTTGGGTTTTGATTGGTCAACAAATTTTGTAACAACGTTTTCCCCTTGCGAAGGATCGTTAATTAATTTGAAACTTTTAAAATCGTTTATTTTACATTCAACATCATCACTTGATAAGACACCGAGGGTGTTGAAACAAAATGGCTATTTTTGTAGTGATTTTATAACATATTTGTTATAATTTTTTTTTAAATAATTATATATATATTGATCTCCTATAAATGTTATAAATGCAAAAAGAAATACACGCAAAAAGTGTATTTTTCTTTTTGGAAATTCTTCTTCTCAAATAAACTAGAAACGTGCTCAATATTGAAATATTTCTATTGGAAAAAAATCTAGTTTAATATTTCTTTTCAATTTTCTAAAGAAAAAAACCTCTTCACAAACGCGGCGTTACACCTTCTTTACGTGACAAAATTATCTACAAGTGATTATAATTTTGTTTAAATATAATCAGCTAAAAATTATCTTACCACTCAAATTGTTTATAATAGCAACTTATCATGCCACAATTCTTTTTATCATACCCTTTTCTCAAAATGATGGATTTAACGACTCCCTTTTTAAATTAGCATTTATAATAAAGCGAAGTTTCCGTTAGCTTTAATTCATTCATCTATTCATTTCGAGCATTTGGTTACCACTCCCCTCGATCTTACGTTTGTTTTTAATGGTGACATTCAGGACTGAATAGTGCAATTTCTTGACGGGTCATTTAAACCGGAGATAACCCTGTCCCTCTTCCCTGAATTTAGAGAGAAGACTTACCAAGCATTAGATGGTTTGAATTCAGAGCCTTTATTCTCTTAAACTGGCGATGGTATATGGAGAGCGTGCACTGCCCAGACTACATGGTCTCCCTCTCGTCCTTCCCGATAATATCCAAAGGAATACAGAGCATTACATCTGGGGACGGCTTGGTTGCATGAAATGCCGGAAAGTTTTCAGTGTTCACAGCCAACCAGCTTCGTTTTCTGTCTGGATTCACTTCCACAGATTTTTCCGTGTTTTGAATATGAAGACAGCAGAGGTTTCAACTCAGGGTTTTCCTCTCCTATATGTACTGACTTTCTGGTCTGACGATCTCTATCTACCACTAGCAGCTAATTATGAGGCTATTTGAGACGCATGCTACAGAAGCATTATATAGACAATTTGTTTCCACTATCATTCCCTCTATGACAACCTTTTCGTTATATTATTACTGTTAAAGATCCAGGTTAGACAAAAGTTCTGTTTACAAAGATATTCAATTTTCTGTCATTATTTCATGTCTTATTACGCCATTATTCAGTTGTCTATTTTTTTTTTTTGCCTGACTTTCTATGGCCTTATTCCGCCTTTTACCCTAAATGTTTACTTTATTATTACAAAACGATTCCAGTGTTGAAGTATACTTGGAGGAAATTTTCGAAAGCTTGACTTTATTGGGTCTGCGCTGCTCGTAATGAAAATAACAAACTCTGAGAATTTGACGTAATTTCACTTGACCAGGAAATTGTTATTTTCTGTGTTCGCGTGTTATTCAAACGTGCAATTAGATCTCTCTAACCTTAAGTCCAGACACTCATATAAAATCCCGGGCAATTTTCTTAAACCAGAGTTGATTTATAGAAGCAGTTACAATATCTTCTACAGATCCTTTCATTCTCATGTTTCCTTGTTATGATATTTTATACCATTATTATATTATTATCAAACCTTTATGCAATTCTTATGATATTTTAAAGACGCATTCATACATCTATATGCCATTCTTACGACATTTTATTCTCCTTTTGTTGTGTATGATACACCTAATTTACATAAGCGGACTGCAGACCATATAAATATGGGTTGGTACCGGAAGACGGGGAAGATAGTAGAGATTAAGAAATTGAATCCAGAGACTCTGCCCGACTGCGATTTAGTCAACCCATTATGCAGGAACAGTCTTCCCAAGAATATACCAAACTAACTGTAAATATTGTGTACCTATTCTTTGTTTCAATACATTTTGTTAACGTACATTTTGTGTTGTATTATTCCATGCTTATTTAAGCTTCAACACCTTTATGCAAAAAAAAACAAAAAAAACATTACTTTGTACATGAAGGATTAATGCAACATCACGTTGAAACACAGATTCTCGTGGGATCACCAAAGTTAAGTAACGTCGAGCCTGGTCAGTACCTAGATGAGCGACTGCTTGGGAATACCAAGTGCTGTAACCTTGGATGTGAGATTTAGCATAAGCGATCGTGGCTCGGAATTGTTAATCGGAGAGCTGAGTTCCAATTCCCGGTGGATTTGATATATTCACTTACGTTTGGAAAAGTTATGAATCATCATAATCCCTTCAGCTATGGGTCAACTATTAAGACATGTATCACTATACCATTATTCTGAAAAAAAAAGTTCTTACATATCTAATAATATTTTCTGGATTTAAAAACCTGCAATGTGTTCATAACTCGTTGAAAACGATTCAGTCAATCACTGAATCATTTTTTATATGAGTAATATTTCATTGCTTGTAAAATTCTGAAGCAAATTTAATAAAGTGATATTTCATATTACAGATCGCATTTTATTTTATCTCTTAGAGTTACTTTGTTGAATATATATTAAAACCAGTACATTTTAGGACCATCGTTCCTAATAAATACTTAATGAATTTCTTTCCAACGGCAAGATGTCTAATTTTTAAATTTTGCCATAATGTCGATATATTGGGATTTTTGCATCATATTAAAAATCAGAATTTTTCCGAGTTTGTTGACATCATACGAAAAGAATATGCAAAAGAAAAGTTTCATACATTTACTACAGTAACAGATGAGTCAGTTTCCAACAATTCCCAGTAATGAAATTTCTTTAGATGTCTACCAGAGATTAACTTTTTTCCTGTAAATACATTCCGTTCAGATTGCGATGTTGAAGACTGTTCAGGATTGAGCAACGATTCTATTCGTTTTCGAGTTTCCAATTTTCATCTTTAGTCCCCAAAATAATTTTTCCAAATCATTGCAAAAAGGAAATAGTATAAACACTAATCGCTGTTCGTTTTCATACGCTTATGGGAAAAATCATTTGTAATACTAAAAAGGGTTCGTCAAAAACGCACTAACAGCTGAGTAAGCGTTAAATATATATGGTAATATTTTGTAATGTTACATCAAAGATTTCTTCTATGCGTCGTGTCTCTTCAGCGATTATGGCTCTCCACAATTTACTTCCTTGATTACTTTTGTCATCTCTCTCCTAAATCCTGTTCTGTAATCCAAGCTCTCTAGTTAGATTATTCTATGTTTCTTCTGCCTCTCAATCCTTCAGGCTCTCCTGTAAGTATCAAATTTTCGAAGCCTTCTTTCTTTATTGTGTGTCCTAGATATATCAACTGTCTCTTTCTGCTGTTAAGTATAAGGCTAGTGTTTGTTTCCATTTCCTTCAAAGCGTTATTGCTCGCATATTTAGTGAATGGTATTCTCAGCATCCTTCTTGTTATGGGGTCCACCCCTTTTTCATACAAGTGGACTCGACCCGTCGTGTACTTGTACTGCTGCTGGTGAATGCCCGGGTGTTAAACGAGAGATACACTGATACAGTAAGAGAGTGAAGTAACCGCTTTGTAGGAGTCACGTAGACTCAGAAGGAAGTCATACTTCGATACTGAATTTCCCAGACTGTATATATATTATTATTGCTACTAACCGATCTACTAACCGTATTACCAATTATATTATTACGTCAATACATTTATTTGCTATATTTCATTCCTGCGTTTGTCGTTCATTTGAGACCGGATTTAATTTCGGAATCCACAACACTTCTGTAGAACTACTTTACTGTTTTTTCAAGTCTTTTCTTCTGTGATACGATTGTCTAGCACTCACTGCGTATAGGTGAACTGATATCACGTAAGGTCAGCACTTCTTTCTCAGTTAAGTGCAAATCTATCACTATGTAAGAAAATATACACTTCACTATTTTCTTTAAAATAATTTATACTATTTTCATCTACTAAACTAACCTGGCTAATAGAATCTACAAATGTGAGGCCCTTTTGTAGATATATTTCACTTGATTAATAATGTTGTAATCAATTCACCTCGATCAGGGTTATAATACCGCTAATATGCATGGGACAACTGTTCGTGAAAGAGAATGTAAAAGAATTTAAAGTAACGGGAAAATAAATCCTAATCAGGAAGCAATGTATAAGCCTCTGATCCTGTTCAAAAAACCGAGGAGGAGTGTAAACCGGGCGATAGTTGAACATATCTGCTCCTATTGCAACTTAAGATAATTAGACCTGCAAAATAAATTTAGAAAAAAACTCCAAGGAAAAGTAACAAAGAAAAGCATGAAGAAAGGACTAAACATTAATTATAGGAAGATATGATGTATGGTCCTTGGAAAAAAAGGCAGCCAAACTTGTAAGCTTCGGACTAGAAACAATAGCAGACAAATATATTTAACTACGTGTGTAGATTAGAAGCTGACGACGGAAACTGTGACAATGATATCCGAAGATATTAGCTGAAGATGACTTTCAGAAACTAAGACAAAAAGTATTAAGATATGAATATTTCATTTGAAACAAAGAAAATAATGCCAAAATGTCATATCTATCCTCCTGTATGTAAGTGAATGCTGGATAATTTCCTTACAGACGAAGACTCGAAGCGACAGAGTGGTGATTATATAGGAGGATGCTGAAAATATCATGAACAGAATACGTTAACAACTAAAGTATACAGCAGGGTTTCCCAATCTGCGCGATATCGCCCACAGGTGAGAGATTTCAACGGTTGAATAGGCGATGAGCGACTGAACAGGAAACAGTGGGCGACCGGAAATTCCGGTAGACGATATAGGATTTTGATTACTAAAAATATATTTAAACATATGTTTATTTTACTTTAGTTTTTCCTTCCGCTTGTACTGTTACGCGTCGCAGGAAGACATAGTCGGCTGTCCACGGCAAGGCGAGTGGCCTGGAGAAGAGTTTTCTCGTGGGCTGTGAAAGTGTCGCTCCAGCGTCTTAGTCTGCCTCTCGCTCTCCAGCCAGAATACCCGAGGGCCTATGCTCGTAGGGCTGGTTGGTATTGCTCCTACCATATCTCTTATTGCCTCATTCCTGATCTTGTCTCGCCTAGATTTGTTCACTACTTTTCTTAGGCATGTCATCTCAGAAGTTTCCTCCCAAGGGTTTTTGTTAGGGGCCATGTCTAGCACTGGTATGTCAGCGTTGGTTGGAAAATGGCGATGATGATATTTACCTTGGTGCTCATGGAAATGCTAGGATGTTTTAGAAGAGGAGCAAATCAGTAACTGTATTGTCTTTCTGATATCTGGTCTCGATTTCTCTGTCTAGTTTGTTGTTTTCAGTAAATATGCAGCCCAGATATTTAATTCACTGGTTTGCTTTATCTGGGCCCCATTGATGTTAATGTCCAGTTTTTTTTTTCTGGTCTCTTGTTGGCGGTCATTACCTCGGTCTTACTGACACGGAGCTTCGTGTATTTCTCGCAGCTTGGGTTGAGTTGGTCGTTGTTTTCTCTGAAGCTGGACACTGTCGTTGTTTATCACTGTCTGGTCGTCGGCGAACATAAGTTAAATATATGAAACCTGAAACAGTATTCAAAGGTGATACGCAAAGAACCTGTATTAAACAAATGGAAATAACTGTCTCTATTCCTGGATAAGATATAAATATCCCCGCGAACGAAGAATATTTTGATACTTCTATAGTTTTTTGAAGGGTTATTAATATTCAAATAGTCCATCTGAAGAACGTTTTTTTCGCATATAAACCAGATGTGGTAAAATCATGACCAACGAAAATATTCGCTGAATTTTTATTAGTTGCTAGTAGTATTAGGTTGGTGCAAAAATAATGGCGTAATAATGTCGTTTTTTGACGTTAAAAAATACGTTAAAAAACGACATTATTATGTCATTATTTTTACACCAACCTAATATATATTATTTTTGACTATATAATTATGAATAAAAACATTTAATGTTTTTGTCAAAACTCTGAAACATAAAGCCTTTTCCCAACCATAAAGCTCATATTGGCCATAAAATTAAATTATATATATATATATATATATATGGTGGACTCTCCCGTCGTATTCGACGTATGAGGGTGAAGCAGCTTAGTTCCTAGGAACTGACAACCCAGACACCAGCACATATGATTTGATTCTTGTGGTGAAGGCTATGTGCAGAACCAATCACACATTTTGCTGGACCGAATTCAGAGACCTGGTGCACTAAGTGTCACAAAGTCCCCAAACGACGCTCTGAATGTTTCGAATTCAGAGTTGTCATTCTCCTAGACCAGTTGCCATCCAAGGCTATAGAACCCAGAGTGCCCTGCTATTTACTCATAGCTGGAGGGAGAAGAAAATGATTAATACCTTTCCCACGGGTAGTAGCATGTAACTGAATGTAATGGATTCGACTGGAATTCGAATATATATATATATATATATATATATATATATATATGAATAAAAATGACAATAGGAAAACTGGTAATTGCTGACGCGTTTCGTCCAATGTGGACTTTAACAAAGCAAAATACGAAAATGAACATAAATATTGTCTTCTCTACTGGTTAAATCAGAGAAATTTTCCTATATATATATATATATATATATATATATATATATATATATATATATATATATATATATATATGTAGTCTTCAATGATCCAGTTTGATTCGTTTCTTCTTTAAAACTGAAGTAGCAGCAGTAGCATTATTTGATATTTTTTACTAAATCATAAAGTCAGTTTACATGTTCATAAATTGACATTTGAATATTTATTATACAGGTAGGCGGTGTGAGTGGTGGCGATGGTGTTTGGAAACCCAGGGTGTTATAGGAACAAGAGGAATGCCTATATTTACATCAGAAATAAACAGGTGAAAATTTTGAAACCCATTACGAGAAAAATGTGGGGATAACGAAAAACATGCGCAGGACATATCTAAGGAAGAAGAGGCGGAGGAAAACTCTTATTAACCAACCTCATGAATTTGGGGAACTGGATGTCTAAGCAGAGACAAAGGGGGATGGGAAGAGCCAAACGTTACTTAGAACAAGAGACAGGAAGTCATGAAGAACCGTAATTGCTTACGCCCTGAACGGTTACGGTACATAAATGAAAGTAATGACCTGTGAAGCGATTTACTAACTGACACATTATAACGATTCGTAGTGCTTGGGTATTTACTAAACCGCGCTTATTCGTTCTGTATTTGCTTGGTGAGAAGTAAAATCCACTCAAGCAGTCTCTTCTTGCGAACTACTGACCTGTGGAACCGACTTCTAAGAGGATGTTTTCTCGATCGCTACAATCTTAACCCGTTCAAGTCTAGGGTTAACTGTTATCTTCTCCACCTATCCGCATAAACTGTATCTCTAACTCTGTAAACCTCTACATCGAGAGGCCCCTCGGCCTTGTACAAGGTGAACCACACAGTAACTTTGTGTGGATACTATCGCTATTTCCATGTCATATGTTCTGACGAGTTACATTCCTTCGTTGCACCAGACTTGACGCTTTGAAATATGGCTACATCCACACGGATGAATCATCCTCATTCCTTTCATATTCCATTAGTAGGAAGTAAATTCTACTAGGACAGCTTTTCCCAAGAACTGATGCTTTATGGAACAGATTCCCGGCAGGATGTTTTCTTGATTTCTACAATATTCACATTAGCAGTTATCTTTCTTACAAAATCTCAGGAACTGCATTTCATGCTTTTTCATACGTTCAAGCAACAGTACACAGTAACCCTCTACCATAAGTGTTTCTTGGCTGACGGCATTAAGTTGAAACACCGTTTCTAGTAGCATTACCGAAGTTAAGCAACGTCAAGCCTGGTCAGTACCTAGATGGGTGACCGCTTGGGAATACCACGTGCTGTAATCTTGGATGTGCGGATGGTGAAATTGATAACGGCTCGGATTGAAAATTGGAGCGCCGAGTTCAAATTCCAGTCTGGAATTTATATTTCGGCACAAATGCCACTGGGAAAGGTAGGAATCCACGTCTTCTCCCCGCACCTTTGGGTTAATTTGTTGGACTTGTATCAGTAAAATATGATTATTTTGACAACCTAAAAAATATTTTCTGGCTTTTAATAACCTACGAACGGTTGATAATCCGTAAAAAACACAAATTAATAAAGAAAGATTGAGTGGTTTTGGTTCTTGTATTCGATTGAAATTAATAAAAACAAGACAGTTAAGATCGATCTCACTGCGTATCTAAAGTTGGTGAGACAGCCATGTCAGCCATTTTTCTACGGTGAGGGTAGGTTTTATTTATGTTGCTCACTTGATGCCAATTAAGTTCATTTGAAGTTTTAAGATAATGTCCTGTAAACTTGATTTTATGCTCCCTTCTTTCTTTAATTGCATTCATCCTCTAAGTGTCTTCTTGTTTTTATTTTGAATTTCATATTCGAATATTTCAAATTCTGTCATTGATATTGTTTTTATCATTAGGAAAGTAAACAGACTGAAAACACAGCCGAAAACGTCCTCAGCTTAAAGTTGGTAGGGATCGCTTTACCCCGTGAAATAAAGTTAGCGTCCTGTTTGGTCAAAATTCAGTCCTTTGGTGGTGAGGCAGAACTGACATCTCTAGGGCGCAAGGCCTGGGCGTCGGTATAGGCAAGCTGTGCGCTGCCCAAACTATATTTCTCCACTCTCGGCCGTAACAAAATGTATTCAAATTCATTACATTTGGAAGCTAGTTTGCGGGAAAGTTGTCAGTGTTGATAGCTAATCGACTTCGGTTCTTCACTCCGAATTTTCTGTCTGGATTTACTTCCACAACCTTTTGTGTGTTTAGATATGGCTGCAAGGCCGTGGAAGTTTAGAATCAGGTTGTTCTTTCACCTAGATGGATTGTCTTCCTGACCAGTCGAGGTCCATCTACCCGAAGCGGGCGCCTGTTGTCCGATTTTGTTCATTCTCCTGCTTGGATTTAGTTTTTCATAGGATATTTGAGACGCAAACTGCAAAAGCTTTTTATAGTCAGTTGGAGCATGTCCTCTTATGCTACTTGCTATAACAACCTTTTACGCATATATATATATATATATATATATATATATATATATATATATATATATATATTCAGTTCAGTTATATACCATGTGTGATACACATTTAGACGATCATGTATCTTTCGATACATGACTGACGAAGCAGATTTTTCTGTGGTAGACCAGTTGACATCGGAGGCTATAGAATCAGGGCTGTCCTACTATTTGCCCATAGCTGCTGGGGTAGGGGGAAGAGGATTCACACATTTCCCAACGGTATTAGCACGTAAATGAATGAAATAGATTCGAAAAGCTCAGGAAATAACTTTTTTTAAATATATTAAATACATAACTCAGCAAGAGATGAATATAGAATAGTGTAGACTATGTAATTCTTATTGACACTTGGAGTGCTATATCGCTGCAGAAACTCTAATCGACTAGTCGAAGTTAAATACTGGACTAGACTATTCTATTCAAAGACGGGAATCTAAATCTTCCCTCTCGAATTATGTGTTAAATAGTAGGGTAGACTAGACATTCTATATTTGGTTGGAACTGTGTCTAACACATGGAAAGCTTTAAAATCCAAATCGTCGTGAACTCAATGAAAAAGTACTCTATTGTCTTTTCCAAATGCCGTGGCAATTTACATATAATAAAGTACCGGCATCCTCAGAGAACTGTGACTGCTTAAGTGACATGGTATTTAGAAAGTAAATAGTGTTTATGACTTTGCAAAATCGAGGCTCACCGCATTTTGATGGTGTCAGTTACTGATATTTATTTAACCTGGAATAGAGGCCTTAAACGGCGTACATTGCCTGCTGTTCTTAAAGTATCAGCCAACGCTGCATAACTTCGATGATTCGGATAGGAACCGGAACTTTCAACGTAAATTGACCTTAAAGTTAATTTACTTAGCACACCGGCATCATATCAAGAGATACAAGGGTGTTCGAAAGATAATCGCATATTATGAATTATGAGTCAAGGAACAAAGGAAGAACTCAAGTGAAATGTTACTAAACTGGAGTCAAGAGTTAGTTCATCATTGCATTTCAAATTTCAATGGTTTTAACTTTTAAAAAACAATTCAATATTGTTTACTATATGGATTGCGAAAGCAGCAAACAATATTGCAATACGTCTTCGGATCTCAGTGTCACACTTTCCGTCCTCTGATAGAACAATTCCCAGGTATTTAAATTTTAGCTCTTCTTTGATTTTAGTGTTCCCGATTTGTGATTTGCCTTTTGGTCTTGTCCTTTTACTCATAACCGTGCATTCTGTCCTCCTGCAGTTTATACTTAGTCTTTTCTTCTTGCTTTCCTTCGTTACCTTCTGTGGGAGGATTTGTAGTTTAGTTTCTGTGTCTGCTATCAAAACTGTATAACCTGCATATCTCATATTGCTAAGATTGGGGCCTCCGATAGTAAATCCTGGCTGCCAGTAGATTTTTAGAAACGTGGAATTTAAAATCTGCCATCCTATCGGGCTGAAGTCAGTGAAAACTAAGTTGATTATGATTTTGGTAAATAATATTTAAATGAGGAAATAGGAAAATTAGCTTACTTTCTTTTTTATATATCCTTCCTGGTAGAAACTAATTACTGTCTTAACATCCTATTATTAAAAAATGTTTATTTTTTTTTTAAATTTGACGCAGAATTGACGAGAAACATAATAATTCAGTGACATATCATTGATATGAAGTTATTTGGGCTCTCAAATCGGAAGATTTTAATCCGTGCAGATGATTATGTAATATGTCGTGGACACGAATGAATGGCTTCCTTCAGTGGTGATGGTGTTGGTTTGAGGCTCTGAAAGTAAAACTGATGAACCGTGTTCGAATTTCAGTGGAAATCGTTACATTCACTTTCAAACAAATAACCTTGATAAAAGGTGTTGATGCATGTCTTCACCCCGAACAATAGTTTTGGGTTAAATCTCAGGAAAGATTTACCTCCTTAGCTGTGGTCGGCAACTAGTATAAGAGAAAGACAATTTTCAGTTCGAAACTGTATCTGGCCCTGATTGGGATCATATTTGAACTGTAACTGTCAGCTCAGAAGAGATACAGTATAAACGACGGATTCAATCTGTGGGTGTTCAAGAAACACAATTGGGCCGGATTACATGAGTATCCTTGGTGTTGTGGTGTCCTACATCTAAAGAGTCTATCTTGAACTCTTCCGCCTACTATAAGATTAGTGGGAGAGAATGTCTTAAGGAACAGATGAATAGATCTGTTACAGTTGTGCTGGTCAAACTCTCTGCCTCCGGTCAGAGACGATCCCCAGACGATGCGATGTCGAAGGGCAGCCTCGTCTAGGGAAACAGCTACCCAACCCCCTTTTTATACGGGGTCTATGGGAAATTTATTGGTTGAGTCTACGGGCTCGGATTGCCCCACATTAAACTCGGCCTTGTGCCACATCCTACCCCGTGGGGAGGCTGATAAATATAACAGTCGAATGGATTGAACACTGGGTCAACCGACACACACTCACTAGTCGTGTAATACTCTTCTGTTGTACTTACTGTTTAATATATGATATATCTGTAACACTTGTTTTGTTATTACTTTAACTATTTACTTGGTCACAATACTTGGAAACCAGCAGCCATGTTGACAATGAGAAATCAAACTGATTATCAGTGTACCTGAAACAGGTATGATGATTTAGGAGACGCAACAGAAGAGCTAAGAGTGAGATACATTTAGAGCAAACATCTTATACGTCGAAAGGTATTTGTAGGAAAAGCTTTTTGTTTTAATTTTCTACACAGAGCCGAAGTTAACTCAGATACCGATCAAGTTATATCTCATTAGGCAACCCGGCCGCCACTCCCAAATTTAATCAGCGATTATCGCCCCTTGACGCCAACAATTTGGTTTAAAAAGCGGCAACCGTTAATTGTACTTATCTTTATATCAATATCCAAACCAGATTATACTAATGAAACATTTGTAATTGCTGATTGCACAAAGGACTCGTGGGCTTTCAGTAAATAATGGGAAGAATACAAAAATGAGAATTCTGTTGTTTAATTCCTTGTAAGAAATGAGTCAGTTTAAGACCAAACCAACAGCATTCTGGACGTGGACTTGTAGGTAATAAATTATATTCCGTCCTACAAATCTTTTATCACAGACGAAACGTCGCAACCCGAACGCTATTTCCAGTGGAAGATGCTGTAGTTAAGCTGCATTGTTTACATTCACCAGTTCATGCCTTATCCTAAGACCAGCCACACCACATACACGGCGTCTCATTCGCCTTGTATTCCATTGGTAGGAAATTAGAAAGATTGCTTTTCCCAAGAACTGTTACATTGGGGAACTGACTCTCGAGAGGTTGCTACTTCGATCGCTACTATCTTAATTATTTGAACTCTTGGATCAATTGTTATCGTCCTAGATATCCTCATAATCAGGGCTTCTTATTTCTCGACAACAACCACATTAACACTCTACCTTGAGTGGCGCTTATATTAGGTGAGCTCTATTATAAAAAAAAAATCACTTTACAATCAAACTAATAGCAGAATAAAACGTCAAACTTAATAAGTTTAAAAAAAATCTGCTTCCTGGCTAAACCAGCTGCCTATTTTCAACCGGCATAATCAGCACTTGTTCGAGCTAAAGCTTTTTGAAGTTTAACTAAATACAGATTGCGACAGAAATACTTTCCAAATATATCCCCCAGAAATACTTTCCAAATATATCTCCCAGAAATACCTTCAACATATATCCCCCAGAAATACTTTCCAAATATATCCCCCGGAAATACTTTCCAAATATATCCCCCGGAAATACTTCCAACATATATCCCCCAGAAATACTTTCCAAATATATTCCCCCCAGA